GGTGGCCGTAGCAGCGGTTTGGCAGGGGTTTTGGTAACCGTTGGCGGAACTGTTAGCGAGGGGTTTTCCCGTTGCTAAAAGCCAAAATAACCCCTGATGTAGGTGAGTTATTTTGTAGTGGAAGTGAATGAGCTCGGGTGTTTCTTCACGTGGGCTTGGTTGTCTCTAAACATTCACTAGTTTCATGTCCGACCCGTTGGTTGGAATGTCATTTGAATTTGAATATGTAGTATTTACGATATAAAATGTTAAAATTGAATTAAATAATAAAAATATAAAAATTAAAATAGCAACCATCAAAGAATATTTACGGAAGAGTTAGTGGGCTAGTTAACCGTAACGAAAAAATATATTTTTAAGATTTTAGGTTTCTATATATTCTTACTTTAAAAAGATGTATCAAATTTGTTTAGTCTAATTTGTAATGATTCATGTTCTTGTTTAGTGGCCAAATTTAACCGGATTGGACCGCCCGATATTTTGTCCCCCATTAAGACTGGAAACCAAACCAAATCGTGTGCAATCTGATTTCCACTTTCAACCAAACAAGCTTATACGGTTCAGTTTCCAATTTGTCCGAAAAGCCGAGACCATATTACCAACCCACAACACACTCATCCATCTCAATCCTTCGGAATAAAACCCAAGAAAAAGGAACATGAGCAAAGCTCTCCTTACCAATCTCAGTGACATTGATGAAAAAGCAGAAAATATGAAATATCGAAATGGAAGTTTTTGGACTTGACCGACCTCGAGTTGGTTATCGACGAGGGCAAATCTGTTGACTAAGGGAGGGTGCTTAGTCACTTGACTAAACCCCTCTCAGCCTTTAAATCTGGACATACCAATCTGAAGGTTAAAAAGTGGGAAGAACTTTTTAATTAATGGCAGGGGTAGTTTGGGTATTATGAAAATTTATGAAGTATACAAACCGGACTTACAAACAGTACAAACCATACAAAAATACGAACAATACAAACTAGAACGACAAAACATACAAACAGATTTACAAACAATACGAAACATACGAACTATACAAACAATACAAACTAGACCGACAAACATTACAAAACATACTAACAGTACAAAATGCCACTACTTACAATCAGGGGCGGAGGAAGAAGGGTAGAGGGTGCGTCCCGAGACCCACACTAACTCGGGAGGAAATATGGCAAACTAGGTATAATAGTTAATCGGGTATGAAAATATTACACATATCTAAATAAGAATGATTGACCTTTCAAATATTTTATGTATGATTTATAAGTTGTGTATCGATATATTTAATGTTTTAATGAGTTATGTACAAATGACAATGGTGCATATGATCCTCCCAAAATTAAAGATGTATTTGTTCAATATCTCAAAAAAATTTCCACCAAATCATAGCTAATTTATAAAAATAATTTTATTTCAATCAGGGGCAGGGAGAGTGTAACGGGTGGCTTCTAATGACAAAAATGAGTAAACTAGTATAATAAAATTGATTGAGAATGAAATTTAAGTCACTTTTAATTGAGAATGGTTGATCGAGAGATCATGTGTTCGAATCTTGGTGACCCTATTTGTTAAGGACATAATATTGGATTTGTGAAAAAATTTAAGCACGCATAAGTTGGTTTTCATTAGCGGAAAAGTGTTAGTAAATACTAAATAGTATTAATTCATTATTAAATCTTTTGCAACAACTCGAGTTATTGGTACTAAACGGTCTTGACGAAGAACACGATTCAAAAGCAAATGTCTAATTGAATCATTAATAATTGATTGATACATATATAGTGATACTATTGATAGTTTTGACATATATTTAGTTTACCAAGTTTTTATAGATATAAAATTATATCATGAATTATTTAAAATGACAAAATTATTTTATCTTTTTTTTAATGGACCCACTCTCGACAAAATCCTGGCTACAGCCTACATCCCTACTTACAATACAAAACAGTAAACTTGTATTAAAAATCAATGAATGCAAAGGGCTAAATTACACGTTTGGTCACTCAAATTATATAAATTTTTCACGTTTGCCACCCAAACTACTTTTCTTTCTTATTTGCCACTAACTTTACGAATCGTTTCACGTTTGGTCACTGACCGTCTGTCTCCGTCAAACTCTGTTAACACCGTCATATTTTTTATGATGTGGCAAATGGAACTGCTGACTGGATTGTATCTTATTTAAAAAAATTAATAATAAAACATATAATAATTTACAGGTCACTTTTTGATAAAATTGTAGCAAGAATTAGTAGTTGGAAGGCCAGATTTCTATCATATGCTGGAAGAGTTGAACTGGTCAGTTCAGTTTTGTACAGCCTACATCATTACTGGATGGCTGTTTTCCTTCTTCCAAAAGCAGTATTGAGGGAAGTTGAGAGTATCTGTAGTAATTTCCTTTGGGGGTGGGTCAAAATGGAAGGGTTAAAGCAAAAATCAGGTGGCAAAACCTTACTTATCCAAAGAAAGAGGGGGGGCTAGGGCTCAGGGATCTCACTACCTGGAATATTGCATGCATTACCAGGCATATTTGGCTACTCCTGATGAAACATGGTTCTTTGTGGGTGGCTTGGATCTACTCATACAAGCTGAAAAGCCAGAGTCTGTGGGAGTATGGGGGTGTTTCTGGATCATGGAATTGGAAAAGAATCTTGAAGGTGAGGCAGAGGGTGCATGGATACTTCTGCCAACAGGGAAATCAGGTGCTTTGGGATCAGGACAGAATGGAGAAGTACTCAATTAAAAGAGTATGGAATACTTTGAGACCCAGAAGACAGGAAGTGGACTGGTTTTTTCTGCTCTGGCAGGGGACTTCTATCCCAAGAAACAGATTCATTACATGGCTAATCCTAAATGGTGTTGTTTCGACAAAGGAGAAAATGGCAAAATGGGGTTATGCTGGTAGTATGGGCTGTGTTTTTTGTAATGGCCAGTTGGAAACTATTGATCATCTGTTTGCTGAGTGTGTGCTTTACAGGAGGCTGAAGGGAGAAATGTATGGCAGTAGAGCAGGTACCTCCTCTTCTTTGAGTAGTGAGATTTGTTGGATGTAGCAAAGATTTGGCTCAAAGTCTGTAAGTTCTCAAGCTGGAAAGGCTATTTGGCAAAGTATGGTAAGCTTAATTTGGCGAGAAAGGTGTAGTAGAGTCTATACAGGAGTGTGCATAGATAGTTCAGTTTTATGCAGGATAGTTCGAGAGGAGGTAGTTGTCCTTTTTGGTAGTCAAGTTTTGGAATCATTTGTATAGATTGAACTTGATTGATCCTAACTAGCAAGGATGTTGCTAGTACCTTTCTTTTTGATGAAATGAAATTAACCCGATTCATCAAAAAAAAAAAAAATAATTTACAGGTGGATTGGACTGGCCGCAACATCATCTTTTTCGCCCTTTCCTTCACCGCCGACAGGTTTCAAGGTCTTCAGCGGCTTTTTTAATTCCCAGCTTGAAGGTCTTAAAAGTGTCCCTCACAAATTGGATTGAATTGAAAATAGGCTCCCCAACTCGCTAGCTTCTCCCAATCTGCTTACTAAAGCTTCATTCCTCGGAAACTCGAAATTCCAACGCCAAGCCACAAGACAACAGATAAACCAACAGAGTTCCATGCAATCAATCCACAACCTCGGCGGTTGCTGTGGCTTTCTGCTCGAGACGCTGAAGGAGATTGGGGGAGGGGAAAAAAGATGACGGCGTTGGCTTCGGGTTTCTTCGAGAGACAAGAGGCGGATATGGATGGAGGGAGAAGAAGAAGACGACAACGACAGTGAAGCTGTGGATTTTTTCGCTAGATGGTTGGAGGATCTAGAGGGAATGGAGAAGGAGTGTGGAGAACGAGCCCGAACACCGCTGTTTTTGTCAATAACTCTCGTCGCCCGTCGGTGGTGATTGCTGCTGTTGTCCATGGAGGAAGGGGATTGGGTCGCTGGTTGCCTGCCTCCGGGTGAATGCTACAGATCGATGGAGGGAGGGTCGGAATTCTTCTTCTGGGTGGGGGATTCTTCGCCTGCCTACGGTGGATTTTTTCTAGGTTAGGGATTCTTCTTGGGAAGGCGGCGGTGAAGGAAAGGGCGGAAGAGAAGAGGGTGTTGCGGCCACTTCGATCGACCAAGTATTTATTATTTTTAATATTTTTAATATTATTTTAAATTTACATGTCATTAAGTTAACAGTACAGTCAGCAATTATGTTTGCCATGTCATCAAAAATTTGACGGCGTTAACGGAGACTGACGAAGACAGACGGCTGGTGACCAAATGTGAAATGATTCGTAAAGATAGTGGCAAATAAGAAAGAAAAATGATTTGGGTGGCAAACGTGAAATATTTATGTAATTTGAGTGACCAAACGTGTAATTTAACCCAATACAAAGTATACAAATCACAACATAAAGTGTACAAACTAGACAAACAAACATTACAAATTACAATGTATACAAATTATTCATATAGACATTACTAACATAATAGATAAAAATGACAAACTAGAATGAGAAACGATACAAACTGAATTGATACAAAATCACAAAACATACTTACAAACATTACAAAATCATCCGACAAACATAACAAAATAGAAGTTGTCGCCGGAAAATTCGCTGATGACGAATAATCATCTCTCTCCGGGCAGGCACACGAGCGGAAGGAGGAGTACGCCCAATTTTTATTTTTGTTTTAATTAATAAATAAATAAAACCTGTAATTACAACATTTTTCTTTATTAAATGAGATTAATTAGACACATTGAATTTTAATAAAATGAAAGAGCTAAGATTCACTTATCAATATAATAACTAAAGTCTCCATTAGTCACATAATTTTAGCCCGGTTATCGACTATCGTGCGTGGACCGTGGGTTTGATAGTAGTAGGAAAGTAAAAAAGAAATGACGACACTGTGCCCCCCAATACACAGGGCGCGCGATTCGGTATCCAAAAAATCGACACAATGTTCTCATCCTTGCACCATTTTATTATTCTCCTTTCCCCTCCGAACTCCACTATACGATTCGCTTGCCGTCTCCGTCTCTTCCCCCAACAAGACAAGTCTCCTTCCTTATATATAATATTCAAACTCTCCCTCCTTCCCAATCCCCACCAACCCAAACACCTTCTCCTCTCCCTAAGCTTCTTCCCTTATCACGTCACCGCCACCAATGGGCTCGCTCTCCGCTCTCGACTGCACCGCCGGCAGCGAAGACGAAGGAGGCGTATTGCCGTATCCCCCCGCGCGCAGGGACGAGTCCGTCGTCGATGATTACCACGGCGTCCAGGTCTCCGACCCATACCGATGGTAATGAGTGGATGCTTTCTGATCATATTGTCTGTATTTTTTCCCAGTTGCATTCTACCTGTTTGTGGAAAAGCGGCACAGAAGGAAAAAACTTGTTGTTTGTGTGTGTTTTGTTTTGGTAGGCTGGAGGATCCTGATTCGGAGGAGACCAAGGCGTTCGTGGAAAAGCAGGTGGAGCTGGCGGATTCTGTGCTGGAGACGTGCGAGTTGAGGGAGAAGTTGAAGGGGAAGATTACGAAGCTGTTCGACCACCCGCGCTACGATGCGCCGTCGAGGCGTGGGGACAAGTACTTCTACTTCCACAACACCGGCCTTCAGCCCCAGAGCGTCCTCTACGTTCAGGTTAGCATTATAGCGAAACCTAAAAAGCCAGTTTGAATGTGTTAATTAAGTAGGCGCGAATAAAATTCTTTATGTTTGACTTGGACAAGAGACGTGACTATATTATGTGTGTGACATTTTGCTGGCAAAGAAATGAGGGTTTGTATTTGGAAATATCCATTTCTTTGGCCTCATTTTCCATGCCTTTTTTTTTTTGCTCCAAATGTCACATTTATAAGGGTGATACTTAGCTGCTACCCAGGTTGTAGCTAGCTCCTGCAACCCACTTGCGTGTCTTGCGTTAATTGGATATTTATTTGTTTTATTAACTATTTTGCTTGTACTTTCTTACTTTAGACTTTACTTTCATATTTTAATATTTCTCTTTCTCGTGCACTTTTTTTAAATACTAAGGAATAACTTTTACAGTAAAATAATTAAGTTACAAACTATTGAGAAAATCTAAAAAAGTTATTTCATGTCGAAGTTGTACTAGGTCATCTCCGACTCTGTTCTTGTTGAGTTGTCGGGTGTCTTTACTATGCGATTTTGTGATGTCTAGTTAGTGACGTGATGCTTATAGCTTTTGCTGGTAATACGAAGATGGTGTTTGACAAGGTTTCGGAAGATAATCTGTTGGTTATAATGATAATAGGCTTGTACAGTTGATAGCAAAGAAAGCATTTTCGTTGTTCTTTGGTTGGTTAAGTTTATGCTCTTCGTTGTTTTTTGTCATATGACTCACTTATATCTTACTGTATGCTCAATATTTTGAGGGATTTTTTGAAAAAAAAATATTGAAGCACTAATCTATCACTAATTTGGTGTCCACAAGAATACCAAATATTGCAATAGATTAACATTGCATTTTTTTATTAATAAAAAGTGATTTCACTTATATTATCACAAAATTACTTTAGTTTTTCTAATAACTTAGTTTTTGTATAATATGGGTAACACATTTTACGAGGAAAAAATAGAAATATAAAAGGAAAATCTAAAATGGGTAAGTACAGAAAATTAACTAACCAAAACAAATTAACATCCAATTAAAATAGTAGCAGCTAAATATCTCCCCATTTATAAATAACTCTTTTAAATGGTTCACGGTGAATTAAATAAGGATTTATATTCTATTTTGACATGGATTGTGACTTGTGAGGTCAAATATATACAAGTATATCCCGAAATTTCAATAAAGACAAAATATACAATTTTTCAAATCAATGAATATATTTGTCTTGATTTCTACTACGTTAATGACTCAATGATTAATAGTTAGTGTACTTATGGTGTTTGTCACGTGCATTATGCAATATTAGTTATGTTAAAATTTACATTTTGTTCTTTTATTTTATCTTCCTTTTCTCCTCCCAAGACACCCATGTGCCCTGTTATAAGAAATGGATTGGATCGTACCATACTCGAACTATTAAATCGGTTATAATGGTTCGATCCGCTTGTTCTTAAGAATAGTTTTTATTGTTAGACATGAAATCAAATGAACAACTTCGGTTTGAGTAGTCTATTGACTCACCCTTTTAATCATAAATTGAAAAAAAAGTACTATAAGGTGAGAGTTGAGACAATTCACCATTGATTACCAAATTTATTTATAAATACTATTTTAAAATATATCTTTTAGCGACTGCCCTCTTAATTAATAATTTTAATTTGATAATTTTTTTGTTTTATTCTTTTGTGAGGCAATTTGAATATTTTATTCAAATTTATGGTGATGAACGACTTGGATTTATTTATGATTAGTGACAAAGTGAGTCATACGTTAGCATGTTGCATACATGCCTTCTATTTTATTGGGTGTGCAAGGTTCTATAACCGTTTAACAAAACCTTTAGCTGTCAAATCATAAATTATTGACTTTTCTGGTTTAACATCCAATAAAATGATAAAATCGCACTAATCTCCGAGTCCATAAATAACGAAGTAAAGAGTTTAACATTTTAAAGAATAACTAATTATTAACCCAATAGATAAGCTTATTAAGCTTGTTTTGGAATGTTTTTTGAGAACAGGACGGTTTACAAGGAGAGGCAGAGGTGTTGCTTGATCCGAATGCGCTGAGCGACGACGGCACAGTATCGCTTGGCCCGTTTTCAGTGAGCGAGGATGGGAATTACCTGGCTTACGGGCTTAGCTCAAGTGGCAGTGATTGGATAACCATCAAGGTCATGCGAGTTGAGGACAAGACAGTTGAGGAAGACACGATTTCATGGGTACGTACCGTGAGAGATTAAACGCGCGGTTTATTGTATTGCCTGTATCCCTACCTATCTTGCTGTTGTCTGTTCTCAATTTTGCTCTGTGAGTTCTGAGCTTTCTTCTTGTGTTCCTCAGGCAAAGTTTACTGGCATCAGTTGGACACACGACAACAGAGGGTTCTTCTACAGCCGTTACCCTGCTCCCAAGTAACGTTCCGACCCTCACGTTTGTTTATTGTGCAGAAGTAGAGATGGCAATTATTAATCTAAGACACTAATTTATTAAAAATATATCCAACTAATTCAATTCATTTGATCTAATTCTAATTAGATTGGTGGATTCATGGATTGTTGGCAAATTATGGTTTAGTACCTATAATTTTTATTTTTTTACATTTTGGTACCTAAATTATAATTTTTATTGAAAAAGTACATTTTGTTGCCTACAATTGTTTATCATAACATTTAGTATCTAAACTTTTCACATTTTACATATTGGTCCAAGGTTGAGGATGTCAGTTGGATTTATGGATAATCCACAAATCCACTTGATCCAATCCATGAATACACAAATCCATTTGATCAATGAATCCACCAATCCATGAATCCAATGCATTTGTCACCTCTGTGCTGAAGCGGAAAATGATTAAAATGAAAGGAAGTTGTCACTTCAGAGTAGGGTTAAGGCACTTATATTGTTAGCAATTTGTTGTTGTGCAGAGATGGAGAGAAGCTAGATGCTGGAACAGAGACCAACATCAACCTGTATCAAGAATCGTATTACCATTTCTTGGGAACGGATCAAGCAGAGGATATTCTGTGCTGGAGGGATCAAGAAAACCCCAAGCACCGATTCGACGCAACGGTCGCAGACGATGGAAAGGTACGTACGTAGATTGTCCTGCTGAACGCTCTTAAATTTGTTTTGAGTTCGAATTAGATCTGAGTTGTGAATTAATTCTAGTTACGATTGGTGTGATACTCTGCATGCAGCATCTTCTCCTCTACACCCACGAAGGTTGCGATCCGGTCAACAAAGTCTACTACTGTGACATCTCTGCACTCCCTGGACCTGGTGGACTACACGGTTTCAAGGAATCAAACAACGGTACGGATCTCCTCCCTTTCATCAAGCTCGTCGACGACTTCGATGCCAAGTACGCAGCCGTAGCAAACGACGGGACGGCGTTCACTTTCCTGACGAACAAGGACGCTCCTCGATACAAGCTGGTCCGGGTCGACTTGACCGACCCGAGTTCATGGGCAGATGTCGTCCCGGAGTCAGACAAGGACGTGTTGGAGATAGCACGTGCCGTTGATGGCGAGAAATTGGTACTGAGTTACCTGAGTGACGTCAAGAGTGTGTTGCAGGTCAGGGAGCTTAAGACAGGGGAGTTTCTGCATCAGCTGCCTGTTGATATTGGTACCGTGACTCGGGTTTCTGCTAGGAGACAGGACGGTGTGGCGTTTATAGGGTTTACGAGCTTTCTTTCCCCTGGAATCATCTACCAGTGTGATTTGGGTTCGGGGGTCCCGGAAATGAAGGTGTTTCGGGAGATCCACGTCGCTGGATTCGATCGCTCAGAGTTCCAAGGGAAGCAAGTGAGTATTTTGGTCTTCGTTACGGATGGTGACACCTAAAAACTACAACGCCTAATTCAAACTTTTTTTGCCTTTATTCACGTAGATTTGGGCTTATATAAATCATATTGGTGTTGATTCAGGTAATTAATTGTAGTAATTAGCAAACAGTAATGATTATTCACGCATATAATTATATTGGTGTTTATTCACATATATTGTTATTTATATTTTATACACGTCGTAGTAAAAGCAATTTTTAAATCTTGACATATTTCAATATGGTTGTCATTGTATAGATTATGATCCATGAAACTCACTTTTACGAAAAATTAAACATCCAAATTTAATTCCGTACAATATTATAGCCACATTACAAATTATTAGGGGAAAAAAAGAGAATCAGTTTGTGATTCCATTTATGTGAATATTTTACATGGATAATTATCAAATCAATACGAATTACGAATAAATGAAAAAAAAAACAGTGAATTAGGTGGTCTGGGTCTTTTGGTTGTTACTTATGCAAAGCGGTGACATATAGTATGTTTTTGCTTTGATCAGGTTTTCGTTACAAGCAAGGACGGCACCAAGTTCCCAATCTTCATCGGGTCGAAGAAGGGCATCAAACTGGACGGGTCGAACCCGTGCTTGCTGTACGGCTACGGCGGGTTCACCGTCAGCATCACGCCGGCTTTCAGCGTGAGCCGGGTAGCTTTGGCCAAGCATTTAGGCGCCGTGTTCTGCATCGCCAACATCCGCGGCGGTGGAGAGTACGGCGAGGAGTGGCACAAGGCAGGGTCGCTGGCCAAGAAGCAGAACGTCTTCGATGACTTCATCTCTGCCGGCGAGTACCTCGTGTCACACGGATATACCCGGCCGGGGAAGCTCTGCATTGAAGGCGGCAGCAACGGCGGCCTCCTCGTCGGAGCCTGCGTAAATCAGAGGCCGGATTTGTTCGGCTGCGCTCTGGCGCATGTTGGTGTCATGGACATGCTGCGGTTCCACAGGTTCACAATAGGTAATAGGAGATTTTGTGATGGAAGATCAGAGTCAGCACGACCACTAATTATATATGTTCAATTTATGTGACTGAGACACTTTTTTTTTCTTCTTCTTCCACAGGTCATGCTTGGACTACTGACTTTGGCTGTTCAAACGAGGAAGAAGAGTTCCATTGGCTGATCAAGTAAGATGGAGTACTCATTCTTTGTTTTTCTTTATTATGTCTGATATGATTCTAATCAAACTATGGTCTTTAATGATACAAACTGAGTCGAGCTTTGTTATGGGTTGGATTCGGCTCGTTAAAATAATTTCAAGGTTGAGTTCGACTAGTGTTCGATACGTGTTTTAGTAGGCAAGCTCTAGTTCAACTCGTTTGCCAAAATAGAAGCTCGAGCTCGATTTGAACTGGCTCGCCAAATAAAGTTTACAAGCAAAAATCAATTTCACCTGATAAAATGTCAGATTGTAGCTCAACCTCAACTCTGCTCATAAGAGCAAAACACAAAAGGCTTTCGAAATTTTATGAAAGTCTATCGAACTGCACATGTCATGGTTTGAACTCGGCTCGTAAACTTGTTCTCGAGCCGACTCAGTTATAGATGAATGGAGTGCGGATTGCGGAACACATTTTTTTCTTTTTGGTGTCTGCATGGCTGCAGGTCGGGGGAGATCCAACCACACAGCCTTGCGGAACACATTTTTCTCGAATCGAATGCCGAATCCTTCAGGATCGACTTGGTTCATTAACAACACTAAACCAAACACACTAACAAAATGATATTTTGTGCTTGTAGACTTACATTCAACTTCCGAGGAATTTTATAATACTATATAGTATTGGTGCTATAGGTTTTTTACCTTTATGGTACAACTTGAAATTGTACATTCAATGTTATGGTACAATTTTAGATTATACCTACACTGTTTTGTCAATATTCTTTATGATACAACTTGAACTTGTACCTTTATGTGAAGATATAACTTCAACTTGTAAAGTTGTACTATAATATAAGGGTACAGATTCCTTTATGGTACAACTTGAACTTATACATTTAATGTTACTAGTCAATTGGCCCGCGCTTAGCCGCGGTAACTTTTTTTTTACAATATTTCATTCATTTTCAACAAACCGTGTAATTTAAAAATGATTAATTTAAAAAGGCGAAACAAACTTTTCTCACATTTGGGATAATCACATACTAAATTCATTCATTAACTTTAAAAGCTCTCATCTCCATATGAGTAACCTAAAAAAGTAACTTGAAAGTAGAGCAATCATTGTGATTCGTGTGCCCTTTTTTTGTTTGGCCTAGATGTTGAATCTTTCTTACGAAGTTTTATATATATATATATAGTGCGTTCTACGGTACCCCGGGTGAAATCTAGGGTACCGCATACCTTGAGTATGAAAATGCTATTCAGATCTCGAATTAGCAGGATTTTTGGACCTAATACTATACCCTAACCCTTAATGAGTGAACCCTAGTTCCTAATTATCTAAATTATAAACTATAAACCCTGAGATGGTGCATTCATTTTTGGGCTTATTTGGACGAATCATAACCGTCGATTATTATTCTAATTAAATTGATCTTGGAGTATTATATTTAGACAACTAAAACCTAGATTTTGATCTTTAAGGGTTAGAGTATAGTATTATGTCCGAGAGATCAGTCAATTAATGGTCTGAATAGCGTTTTCATACTCAGGGTATGTGGTACCCTGAATTTCACCCTGGGTACCGTAGAACTCCATATATATATATATAAAAGAAAGTACGACAACAAAAAGCGGGATACAATAATAAGATAATCATTATTATAAGTTGCATTAATTTGTCATGCTCAAATCATAAGTCATCATTAGGAGTTATTGAAATTTGAGAACTTGACCTTTGGCCATGAAAAATAGCAATGCGAAATCATGATCAAGTTTGTTCAATTACTTGTGTTATTTGGATAATAACAAATATGAAATTTGATTTCATATATGACATATTGAAGTTAATATGAATACTTTCAAAACATGGATATCAAGAAGGCCATGTTTGAGTAATATTCATAAAATATTGTATCATATAAAATGTTTATACCAACTAAATCGTGTATGTCGATCCCATTGTTGCAATTATATATCTGAAGAACTACCATACATATTTAATTGACAATGATTCATACACTATTCAATATTATAATTTCAAATTATTATCTTGTGAATTTAAATTGCTCTTAAATTTAACTTATCCTCCTCTTTGCTAAATCCCATTATGTTTCTTATGTTGTTGGTATGCATAATTAGACACTATAATCAATAAATTATCATCCTTCTGTGTGGGTAAGATGAATAGGGAGGTTGTACCCTCTGTCGACACTCAACCCTTAACTTTCTTTTTCCTAATTGTCAATAAGTAATTAATTAGTTATGTCATATTGTAAATTCATGAACGCCCAATCACCAGTAGGCAGCTATCTCTTATTGCAAACCGTAAATTGTCACAATAACTTCAATTCTTGTCTGATGTTTTAAGCAAACTTGTGCGACCAGTTTCCAAGTTTGAAAGGAAGAGTTGTCTTCGACCAACAACAATATACTTTGTTGTACACATGTAGTACTCAGCTCATGCAACAAATGCACCTCAGCCCAGAGTGTAGTCAGGAACTCATTTAAGAACATTATAAAATAATTTTTTGTTAACTTTTTAGTTTAAAATTATATTTTAAAAAATTGGTAAATTAAGATACAATGGTTGTCAAAACTACAAAAAAAATATTACTAAATAGGTAGGAAAAAATTGTTTACGATTTAGTTAGCTAAAATTTTGTGAAAATTTCGTTCTTAATATTGAATATGCGCACCTTTGATATTTCAATCGATCATATGCATAATTGTTATTTGTACATGGCTCATTATAAAATTTTGAATATATCAATAAATGATATGTAAATGCATCCTAAATTTTATTCTCAATTAATTACTATAACTAATTTATCAAATTTTTCGTCCAATCCACAATGGATCTCTAGCTCTGTACTCAGCTGTTTGTCTTCCCTTATTCTTTTCCTGCCACCGAATTTTTTGTCTATGATGATGAGAGTAAGAGAAATGAGAAGGAGAGACAGGAGATGGAGGAGGCTTGATGTAGTGGGAATGATGATGTGATTGGTGATTGCTTGGAATATAGGAAAGAGAGAGAGGGAAGTAGGTTGATGGGTTTGGATGGTACAGGTGAGGTGTGGCCCTTCTTTTGTAAGCCTATGCATGTGAAAGGGATTTTAAAACAATCAATGGCCACGTTTGTTTTACCCAATGTGGTGAACGTGGGCTTACATGAAAACGCCCGCATGCGATCAAAAAATCCTGTAGTGAACAGTAACTTCCGATTTTTTCTTAAGGAACAGTGATTTCGATTTTTGGTAATTTTTTAGGACTTGCGGTTTAATAATTCTAATGGTACAACTTCAAGTTGTACATTAAAGCACCAATACTTTATTGCACAGTAAAAGTGCTCTCAACTTCCATGGTTGTGTTTCTCTGTAAATTTTTTGCAGGTATTCTCCACTCCACAATGTGAGGAGACCATGGGAAGCATGCCCCGATGTTCAGTACCCTGCGACCATGTTGCTGACGGCCGATCACGACGATCGGGTCGTTCCATTGCACTCTCTCAAGCTGTTGGCGGTGAGTTGATGATCTCCCTCATACAAGAGAGAGTCCTTTTATTCTCGACCTAAGTTTTGAGTTTGATCAACGGTTTCTGGTACTCTTCCTTTTGGGCAGACGTTGCAGTATCTTCTGTGCACCAGCTTGGAGAACAGTCCACAAACCAACTCCATCATCGGCCGGATCGACAGGAAGTCCGGCCATGGCGCCGGACGTCCAACTCAGAAAATGGTATGACGATGACGAGTTTGATTATGATTTTCTTATATATTGTTGATGGATCAAATCAACGATTGCTCGAGTAATTTTTGTGGTTCTTCTTATTGCTGCTGGCAGATTGATGAAGCGGCGGATCGGTATGGTTTCATGGCGAAGATGGTGAATGCCACGTGGACCGAGTAGGAGGACAAACAAAAGAGCTTCCCCTAAGTAGTTGTTGATCTCGTTAATGTCTACCTTGTGGTTTACTGGTTTATACCATCGGAAGGAACGATAGCTCTTGTAATTTACACGGCCTGTTCATGCAACAACAACATACGTCGATGGTAAAAGGCTTTAGTAGACAAACAAACTAGCTTTTAGATCCTGTACTTTATATTTTTTCTTTATTATGTAAAATTTATGAGTACATGTGATAATACCTAAATTATATATTTGCTATTGATTGTTACAGTATATATTTACTTCAAAAATAGCAACAGTGAAAAGTTCCAATAATCTATCAAGTTGTAGTCATTAGTAAGGAAGAAAACGTCCCCTCTTTAGAATTTATATGCACATTTTAAAGAGATTTATTATGTTATTATCAAATTATAATATTTTGTATGCATTTTATATTTATAATATTTAAAAAATAAAAAGTCTGTGATGCATATTATAAATTTTTTATAAGTGATTTTAGTGCTACTATGGATTCCTTCGAAACATCGAATGTGGATATCATAAATCAGAGTTTAATGGATTCCAAGGACTGGGTTAGTTGTATGCAGAGTTTTTATCATAAACCTATGAGATCTTGGTATACATGATGGAATAAACAGGCAGCCAACCCTATTGCACAATGAATATAGGTTTTTGGTCAATAATGAATGGATAAGTAAGTTTTCCCACTAAATTCCTGTAGTCGGTTCCCTTAATGTCGCATGCTTGGGAGAGGTGGTTTCTTTGGAGACTTATCGAGTCTTCTATGGGAAGTTGTGATACCATTTTTCCATTCAATCATTGGTAAGTTGTATTAATGAAAGTTGTTTTTTATTTTATTTTATTGTTAACTTGTAAATTAGAAAACCTTAACTGTGATAATAATTACGGATGGAGAAGGGGCAATATAGCTGGATAAAGATAGTGATCTTTGGGCTCCCATATTCTCAGTTTCTATTCCCCCCCTCCCACCCCCATCATATGCGATTTCACTTCACGGCGGTCGAGCGACGATACATTTGCTTCATCGCTCCAAGGCCGGCGAGATCCATCAGTTGCAAAGATGGATGATTATGTCGCCGAGTTGGATGGAGGAGGTGAGGTAATCCACAAGTCAACCGGCAAACGTTGCCTGGGATTTGACCTCAAGCTAGAGTATACCAACAACGACGACGATCAATTCAAACTCGGGTAGTTCGGCAATGACGACTCTGACGAACGTCCTGATGATCTAGACGATGAGCTATACGTTGAGCATATGCAGAATGACGTCAACATTAATCATATGGCAAGTTCCGATTCCACCTCTAACGTCGTGCATATGTCTGACATCGACGCTTCCGCGAACGTGGAGTCGGTTTGAGTCCGGGAGGAACAACAGAAAAATCTCGATCAGCATCCATACTCATGTGCATTCGACCTTTCAAATGAATGAGTACCACTGTAATAGTATTTTGTATCATTGAAGTGATAGTGTATCACATAGTTCTATCGCTCCATATGTTTTAGTACCACTGCATTGGTATTTCTCACCCTAATGGCAATTTTGTTCTCCACACAAGTTTTGGTTCTGACTATCATTACACTGGTAGTTGTTACCAGTTCACATCAACATCTTTTAAATATGCTAAATAATTTGTATTTTATGTAGGAAAACAAGCTTGGTCTACCATCGCTGACATTCCTGAAGAAGATCCTCCAGAAATCGATCAACCAGAGCCGAGAGGGAAACAGTGAAAAAGAGGATGAAACCTGTTGGGGAATACACTGGAGAGAAAGCTAGAAAACAAATGCAAGATGAGGTCAGGCATAAAAAAGGCTAACAATCAATAGGGGTGCATTATTTTCCCTCTGAGTTTGTAATTTTAAAGTTCAGGAATTTGTGGTTTGTACCTTTTTAAAGACACAGCAAGTTTGGTTACCTTCTTTAAATCTCATGTAATTATCTTGCTCACGACTATTGTCATATAAATGTATTTCGAAACCACAACGATCCTAATACAAAACCACAATCTGTACTAGTATATATACTGGACTGGTAGATGTAACACTAGTTTGGTAGATGTACCAATGGACTGGTACATTTATCAGTCAAGTTTTGTTACCTCTTTTCAAAGTAAGGAGTCAATTTCCCACACAGCTTTTAAAAGACACAGTAATTTTGGTTACCTGCTACTGTCATATAAATGTATTTCGCACAACTTAAACGGTTCTAATATGAAACCGCAATCTGTACGGGTACATGTACCACTTTACTTGTAGAAATATCACTTCACTGGTATAAATTCCGATCGAGTGGCACTTGTATCACTGAACTAGTACACATAGCACTCAACAAGTACTCATACTAACTACAACATGCAAAATATAATTCTGGCACAAGCACCCAATGTAATTATTCAATCAGACAACAAAATAGGGACCAACCCCATCATCGGCCGGATCGACAGGAAGTCTGGCCATGGCGCCGGCCTGCCGACTCAGAAAATGGTATGATGACGAGTTTTATTCTGATTTTCTTATTGTTGATCGATCAACGATATTGGTCGAGTCATTTTTGTGGTTCTTCTTATTGCTGCTGGCAGATTGATGAAGCGGCGGATCGGTATGATTTCATGGCGAAGATGGTGAATGCCACGTGGACCGAGTAGGAGGACAAACAAACTAGCTTTTAGATCCTGCACTTTATATTTTTTCTTTATTATGTAAAATTTATGAGTACATGTGATAATATCTAAATTATATATTTGCTATTGATTGTTACAGTATATATTTACTTCAAAAATAGCAACAGTGAAAAGTTCCAATAATCTATCAAGTTGTATTTATTAGTAAGGAAGAAAACATCCCCTCTTTAGAATTTATATGCACATTTTAAAGAGATTTATATGTTATTATCAAATTATAATATTTTGTATGCATTTTATATTTATAAATATTTAAAAAATAAAAAGTCTGTGATGCATAGTATAAATTTTTTATAGGTGATTTTAGTGCTACTATGGATTTCTTCGAAACATCGAATGTGGATATCATAAATCAGAGTTTATTGGATTCCAGGGACTGGGTTAGTTGTATGCAGAATTTTTGATCATAAACCTATGAGATCTTGGTATACGTGATGGAATAAACAGGCAGCCAAGGTCAATAATGGATGGATAAGTAAGTTTTCCCACTAAATTCCTCACCTTTTGTCGGTTCCCTTAATGTCTCATGCTTGGGAGAGGTGGTTTCTTTGGAGACTTATCGAGTCTTCTATGGGAAGTTGTGATACCATTTTTACATTCAATCATTGGTAAGTTGTATTAATGAAAGTTGTTATTTATTTTATTGTTATCTTGTAAATTAGAAAACCTTTGGGAGGGTGCTACGGTGGCGGGCCTGATGGGGGAAGAACCAGGGACTTGGTGTGATGAGTGTCTGGCGAATTGCTTTACCCCTGCGGTCGGAAGGGCGATCAAGGCGATTATCCTCCCTCGGTTGCCTGTCCGGGATAAGCTCATCTGGCATGAGGATCGAACGGGGGAATATACGGTGAAATCTGGGTACCACTTGGCAATGAGGTTGAGTGGGGGCCGGTGGAAGGGCAAGAGTGAGGCATCTTGGATGGATTCGGCTTTGTGGAGGAAAGTGTGGAATCTTGCGATTCAGCCGAAACTCCGGTTTTTTCTGTGGCAGGTTATGAACAGGATTTTGCCAACGACAGAGGCCTTTGTTGTCCGTGAGATTGAGGTTCTGGAGCAGTGCCCGGTGTGTTGGTATGAGATAGAAGATTTGGAGCATTTGTTCTTCCATTGCCCTGTGGCTGCCAGGCTATGGGCGGAGTCAGGCCTGATGGATGTCCGGGCAGGCCTCCCGGAGGCGAACATGGGTATTTTTGTCCGGCGGCTGTTGGAAACGGTGACCAAGGAGGAGGTTATTATTAAGATAGTCTCGCTGTTGTGGCGGGTTTGGAAGTCTCGCAACTGGGTGGTGTTCGAAGGGTGCCAGTATACTGGAGAGGTTTTGCGTAACCAATGGTTAGTCCAGGTGGGGGAATGGCAACAGGTGTCGAGACAGGCGGAGGCCCGGGTGAGAGAGCAAGGTCGGAGGATACCCTTGGAACCGCATCATCCGACGCAGGGGGTGGCTTGGGTATGTTCCTTTGATGGAGCAGTGCGTCAGGCGTCCCATTCTGCGGTGGGGGTGGTCTTGCAAGGCCCGGATGGGGTAGTGGTTAGTGCCTTGGGGAAGGGGTGGGCGGAGGTTACGGATCCCATGCTGGTGGAGTTGCTGGCTCTTCGGGAGGCAATCCTGTGGTGTAGATCGATGGGTGTGCAGGGTGTCTGTTACCAGGGTGACGCGAAGGTGGTAATCGACAAGGTGTTGGATGGTAGTACGGGGGACTGCTATGGTGGAGCCGTGCTGCGGGAAGTCCAGGGATTATTGGGTGCGGTTGAAGTGGATGTTCCCCGGTTTGTAGGTAGGGATAACAATAGGGTAGCCCATAGGGTGGCTAGGAAGGCCCTGTCTTTGTATCCTACTCTTATCGGAGGATTTGATTTTTGCGTTTGGCTCCGCTCGGAGATGTAATCGTTTGTGATCTTTGCTTCTTGGTAATACAAGCTATCTTTTGTTAAAAAAAAAAATTAGAAAACCTTAACTGTGATAATAATTACGGATGGGGAAAGGGCAATATAGCTGGATGGAGATAGTGATCTTTGGGCTCCCATATTCTCAGTTTCTATTTCCCCCTCCCACCCCCATCATATGCGATTTCACTTCACGGCGGAGGGGCGACGATACATTTGCTTCATCGCTCTAAGGCCGGCGAGATCCATCAGTTGCAGAGATGGATGATTATGTCGCCGAGTTGGATGGAGGAGGTGAGGTAATCCACAAGTCAACCGGCAAACGTTGCCTAGGATTAGACCTCAAGCTAGAGTATACCAGCAACGACGACGATCAATTTAAACTTGGAAAGTTCAGCAATGACGACTCTGACGAAAGTCCTAATGATCTGGACGATGAGCTATACGTTGAGCATATGTAGAACGATGTCAACATTAATCACATGGCAAGTTCCGATTCCACCTCTAACGCCGTGCATATGCCTGACGTCGACGTTGCCGCGAACGTGGAGCCGGTTGGAGTCTGGGAGGAACAATAGAAAAATATCGGTCAGCATCCATACTCATGTGCAGTCGACCTTTCAAATGAATGAGTACCACTGTAATAGTATTTTGTATCATTGAAGTGATAGTGTATCACATAGTTCTATCGCTCCATATGTTTTAGTATGACTGCATTGGTATATCTCACCCTAATG